AATTTGTTCCGAATTTCATAATCTCAATTTGTTTAATCATAAATTTCCAATTTAGATTGTCAAATGCCTTTTGAGCATCGACAAAAATCAGAGCCATCTGTTTTCCGGGGTGTTCCTCATAGTACTCTAGCGTGTCTAGCACGATTCTCAAATTATCCCTAATTTGTCTCCCTGGTAAAAATCCATTCTGGTCTTTGTATATCCAATTATTTAAAATCTTTTTCATTCTTTCTGCCATTATATCCATGAATAATTTGTAGTCAGTATTTAGGAGCGAAATTGGTCTGTAATTTTGAATTTGTTTTGGGTCGGCACCTTCTTTCGGCACAAGTGTAACATGCGCCTCTTTCCATGACTCTGGAATTTTATGGTCTAACAGTGCATCATTAAAAATTTCTACTAATTTCGGTTGGAGTGTTTCGTCTAATTTTTTATATATTTCCCCTGGGAATCCATCAAGTCCTGGCGCTTTATTGTTTTTCAATTTGGAAAAGGCTATTTTTAATTCTTCAATTGTAATCTTTCTGTTGAGCATTTCTTTCTCATCATCAGTTATTTGTGGGAGCTCTGCTTTTATCAAATATTGTTCTATTTTGTCATCCGGTATCTCCTCTTCTTTATATAGGGATTCGTAGAATTCTCTCACCCTATCCCATTTTTCTTCGTCGTTAGTCAATAATTTGCCCTTAGAGTCTTCTAAAGTATGAATTATTCCCCTTTCATTTTCCTTTTTTAATTTATAGGCCAGCCACCTGCCCAATTTGTTGGTATTCTCAAAAAGATATTATTTCGTTCTTTTCATTCTTTGTGCCCGCTTTTCTTGCTCCATGAAATTTACTTTTTGCTTCCACATCATCCAATTTTCTTTGGCTGCTTCATCTTCTGGGTTATCTTGGAGTTTTCTTTCTGATTCTCCTATATGATTTAAATAGTCTTCCAGGGTCTTCCTTTCTTCTTTATTTTTATGTGCAGTGTATGAAATCACGACTCCCCTCAGATAGGCCTTCATTGTGTCCCATACTATTGCGCGGGATGTGCCTTTGTTTTCATTTTCCTTGAAAAAGAAGTTTATTTCTTCTTTGAATTTTTGTATACAGTCTTTGTCGCCCAGTCTTTGTTTCCTCCATATATATACCCCAATTTCATCAAATAACGTGAAAACTTCTATTAAATGTAGATTAAACTATTTCATTTGGATACAGATTTGGAGTACAGACAGCCAACAGAAATTAGACTCTTTGCAATCAGGTCATATGTTGGGAATCATTAATTTGTAACTAAGCAAAGTCCCACATATTGTAGTTGCCTGCTTTTACCATGAAAAATATGTTCCCAGTCCATTGAAATAAGTACTGTGAGTATTAACACAAGAGACTATATTAGGGTTGAAATATTTAGTTCTTGGTATTTGAGAAATAAGAAGGCATTTTACTTTTCAGCAAATTCAAAGCAATAGTAGAAACTGAAGCATTCTTTCCAGTTCTGTACTGACTAATAATTCTATAGTACAGTATATAGTAATTCTATAGTACAGAATATGAATCAATTTACTATAATACGTATGTGGTTACTGTGTTGTCTTTTAAGACATACTGTATGATTAAGAAGGAAAGAAGGAGAAGGGGAGGGAGGAATGAATTATTATGATTAATTGAAATAACTTTTGATTAGAACCAAAGAATCTTTCCTGATAAGGAAATTTCCTGCAAATGAAAATTAAACTCATCAAACATATCTAGTCAGTTCTCTATTTTACAATTTCAAAATAAAATAAAAAATAGAATTATAGCTGAAGCAAAGTTTTTACCCATTCTTATTATGCAACCTGGGCAGGTAGAAGTAGTTGAAATTGCTTTGTGGATGATTCAACTCACATTTCACAATTGAGAGAGGAACTTTGTCCTACTCCTCTTCTTTCTGCTTCTTTGTTAGAATGGTATTTAAGCAGTAATTAGGTTCTTTCAAACAGCCTTCTATCATTTCTTCTGAAGAGGCAGGTTTTATGAAAAGTTTTCTGAATAATTAATCACATTGGCACTCTCTTTACATTCTTAACAGTTGAATTCTGAGGTAATTCAGAAAAGTCTAGTTCTTCATATAACACTTAAGCATATTCCCATTCATTTATCTCATTATGTAGTGTGTGTGTGTTTGTGTGTGTGTAGATAGATAGGTAGGTAGGTAGGTAGGTAGGTAGGATAGATAGATAGATAGATAGATAGATAGATAGATAGATAGATAGATAGATAGATGATAGATGACAGACGATAGACGATAGATGATAGCTAATAGATGACAGACCGAAAGAAAGAAAGAAAGAAAGAAAGAAAGAAAGAAAGAAAGAAAGAAAGAAAGAAGGAAAGAAAGAAAGAAAACCGACAAACAGACAGACAGACAGACAGACAGACAGACAGACAGACAGACAGACAATAGAGTAGCTGGATTACATAACACAGAGATAGTATGTTGGTTGACTAAACAAGCTAGGATCATCCTTCACACTTCAGTTTTTCTTTTAAAAAATGATCATTTTAATATGACTAGCATTTCCTGAAGGAAAGATAGATATGATAACCAGGAAAATCTGTTGTCTGTATGTTGAACAAAGAAGGACAAACTTCAAAATCTGCACTGGTTGTCAATTGCTTCTGGGTGTGATTCAAGGTACTGGTTGTTACATTTAAAGCCCTATATGAGGAACAACCTCCGTTCCATAACATCTGCCTGGCCAATTTGACCTGAAAGTTTAGTCAAATGGTTTCTTATATTAAACAATGTCCTGTTCTGTAGGTACTCTACAGTAGCATTTACCCTGTGGAACAATAATCCTCGAAGATCCAGATGACCTCTATTTTGCTCTTGTTTAGAAGAAGTTTGAAGCCTGGGTATTTAACCAGACCTTTGGGGAGGAAGGTGGAAACTCCTTGCTTCATCATCCTTGCCATCTTTTATCTTCTTAAAACATTTTATTGATTTTATTGTTATTTATTTGATTGTTATGGGTTATCAGAGTCATTGAGAATTAGGTGGCATACAAATTCAATTTATTGTTATATCGTTTATATTCTAAATATGATAGAATTTGTGTAGAGGTTAGATATACAGTATCAATAATACAACCAACAAAATAAGCAAAGGATATTTATTCTAAAAACTAATTTATTGCATGATTAGTTTAATTATGATGATGTCCCAAAGGTCAGTTTCCCAGGCATCATTACTACATGCTAGTCATTACTTTGTTTCACAAAGTATGTTCTTAAATGAACCAATTCAGTTGTCAGCAGAAATTATGCTCCTTGAAAGGAATAGGATCTGATCATTTCCAGATGCCAAAGCTGAAAATAATTCTGAACATCAAGAGAGAAATTTGAAGCAAAAGTCATCAACAATAGCCATGATGGCAAGTATTGCCATTTTCCTTCATCCTACCTATTTCCTCCATATATATATTCCAATTTCATCAAATAACATGAAGACTTCTATTAAATGTAGACTAAAGTATTTTATTTGGATACAGATTTGGAGTACAGATAGCCAACAGAAATTAGACTCTTTGCAATCAGGGTCATATGTTGGGAATCATTAATTTGTAACTAAGCAAAGTCCCACATATTGTAGTTGCCTGCTTTTACCATGAAAAATATGTTCCCAGTCCATTGAAATAAGTACTGTGAGTATTAACACAAGAGACTATATTAGGGTTGAAATATTTAGTTCTTGGTATTTGAGAAATAAGAAGGCATTTTACTTTTCAGCAAATTCAAAGCAATAGTAGAAACTGAAGCATTCTTTCCAGTTCTGTACTGACTAATAATTCTATAGTACAGTATATAGTAATTCTATAGTACAGAATATGAATCAATTTACTATAATATGTATGTGGTTACTGTGTTGTCTTTTAAGACATACTGTATGATTAAGAAGGAAAGAAGGAGAAGGGGAGGGAGGAATGAATTATTATGATTAATTGAAATAACTTTTGATTAGAACCAAAGAATCTTTCCTGATAAGGAAATTTTCTGCAAATGAAAATTAAACTCATCAAACATATCTAGTCAGTTTTCTATTTTACAATTTCAAAATAAAATAAAAAATAGAATTATAGCTGAAGCAAAGTTTTTATCCCATTCTTATTATGCAACATGGGCAGGTAGAAGTAGTTGAAATTGCTTTGTGGATGATTCAACTCACATTTCACAATTGAGAGAGGAACTTTGTCCTACTCCTCTTCTTTCTGCTTCTTTGTTAGAATGGTATTTAAGCAGTAATTAGATTCTTTCAAACAGCCTTCTATCATTTCTTCTGAAGAGGCAGGTTTTATGAAAAGTTTTCTGAACAATTAATCACATTGGCACTCTCTTTACATTCTTAACAGTTGAATTCTGAGGTAATTCAGAACAGTCTAGTTCTTCATATAACACTTAAGCATATTCTCATTCATTTATCTCATAATGTAGTGTGTGTTTGTTTGTGTGTGTGTAGGTAGGTAGGTAGGTAGGTAGGTAGGTAGGTAGGTAGGTAGGTAGGTAGGTAGGTAGATAGATAGATAGATAGATAGATAGATAGATAGATGATAGATGATAGATGTTAGATGATAGATGACAGACAGAAAGACAGACAGACGGACAGACAGACAGACAGACACTAGAGTAGCTGGATTACATAACACACATATAGTATGTTGGTTGACTAAACAAGCTAGGATCATCCTTCACACTTCAGTTTTTCTTTAAAAAATGATCATTTTAATATGACTAGCATTTCCTAAAGGAAAGATAGATATGATAACCAGGAAAATCTGTTGTCTGTATGTTGAACAAAGAAGGACAAATTTTCCACAATTTATTCTATTTATATTGTTTGTGAATTATAAACATACAACATTATTAGATGTTAATTTTCTTGCTGAAAGAATTAAGAAAAGTTGTCATTTGTAGAAAAATCACAATATTATGCAAATATATTAATATTTAATGTAAAACTATTTACCTCTCTAGAATACCAGCATCAACAGTATTGAAATAAAGAACAGGACAACCATAATGGAATTCATCCTGGTTGGTTTATCAGCAACAACAACTTACATGCAAATATTTCTCTTCTGTCTATTCATAACCATCTATGTTGCAGCCCTAAGTGCCAACTTCATCCTCATCCTTACCATATGGACTTTCAGGAAACTCCACACACCCATGTACTTCTTCATTGTCAATTTGTCCTTAGTGAATGTATTTTCTATTTCAGTTACAATACCTAAATTGCTCCAGAGTCTTTTTACTGGAAGGAAGACAATCTCATTTCATGGCTGCCTTACTCAGACCTATATGTTTATATGGGCTGTAGGGACAGAACTTCTGCATCTCTCCTTTATGGCTTTTGACCGCTATGCTGCCATCTGTCACCCTTTTCAATACCCCATGATCATGCGGAAGGAAGTGTGTTTTTGCATAGCTATTGGAGTGTGGGTGATAGGACTAGTTAATACTTCAACTCATTCTGGACTGTTGAGCCAGCTGTCTTTTTGTAACTCCAATATTATCAATCATTTCTTTTGTGATCTTCCCCCTTTATTGCACCTCTCATGCTCAGATCCAACTGTAAATGTATTTGTCTTATCTGCCTCAGATTGGATATTAGGAGTTGGTTGTTGTGGGTTCACTTTAACATCATATTTTTTTATAATAAGAACAATCTGCAGAATCCGTTCTACTGAAGGTAAGAAGAAAGCATTCTCCACTTGTTCCTCACATTTTATAATAGTCAGTATTTTTTACTCTTCTGTAATTTATACTTATATCAGGCCCTCGTCAGCCTACTCACCAGAACAAGATAAGGTTGTTGCTCTCCTTTATTCAGTGGTAACCCCTCTTGCTAATCCAGTCATATATACACTGAGAAACAAGGATTTTAAGGAAGGATTGAAAACACTTATAGGGAGAATCCGGCTGTTCAGTAGGCTTCAATACTGAGAATCAGTCTGAGAAAAGGAAAAATGTTAACAAAACCACGTACTGTAATAGAAGCCAACACATTGTATATAAATAGAACACTTTTTCATTTTATATAGTTGTATATCTAAATTCTTTTCTGATTCTTCTGTTGTCCATGTACAATATAATGACTGTATTTATTTCTCTATATGTGAATTTAATAATTCTGAAACTTACACAGAAAGTAAATACTGGAAAATATTTATAGATGCTAAATATTTTTCCTCTTTGTGGTACTACATTTGAAATATAGACCTCTGTATATGATTTCACTCAAGAAACGATCTTCACTCACATACAGTCATTTATGCCTATGATTTTTCCTATTTAGATTTGTAGTAAAAGTGCCATGCTTACCACAAAGTATCATCTGAGTTGGGATAGCAGGTTTCAGAGTTCATATCTTGTGTCCTTATGGTATGTGCTTCAGTATTAATAAACACTGAGTAGGGCTCTTATATTTATTGTGTATTCAAAAACATCAACAAACACTTCTTCTTAAACTGTTTTGTGCTTTCATATTTTAAAATTTTATTTTGTATTTAGGTAGCATACAATATACATTGCCAGATCATGCCAGATCATTTAATTTATGAAAAATAAAAATGTTTCTTTCAATTATATTTATTTATTTACTCAATTCAGATAATATATTTTTATTCAGAATGTTTCAATGAAGTTTGGTGACAGCATATATCAATATCACTCTTTGTTTGACTCAAAGACTTTAAAGGTATGGATATGGACAATTTGTTTCTCAGAAGATCATTCACCAATCTGCATGTGTGTGTGTGTGTGTGTGTGTGTGTGTGTGCACGCACACACACACACACACACACATACACACAGTTTCTATTTTGGCTATCTATTGTTTATAAGTTGTGAATGCTTCAGCACAAAGTTTTTATGAAGAGATTAGACAACCATTTGTTTGAAATGGCATAGGGTTTCCTGCTGAGAGGAGTTGGACTAGGAGACCTCCAAGGACCTTTCCAACTCCTATTATTCTTTTTTTTTTAATTTTTTTTGATTTTATTAATTTAAAAACAAAACAGGAAAAAAACGCACATATGGGTACAAATAAAACATACACAACATATATAACATTTAAACGTGATGACTTATTTCTTAAGACAGTACATCGGTAAGGTATATTTCTCGATATATACTCCCACCTCTCACCTTATATAACAATATTATTTTTATTAACGTTTCGTCGTACTCTGTTGTGTCTCATTTGCTACAGGATTTGGTTCAAGTCTTTTAGGATCATCTTTTTGTTTGGTTTTCCTTTTCTCCAGCCATTGATACCACTTTTGCCAACCAAATAGTAGTCTGATTCTTCCTTTCCTTGGATTTCTTTAGTGAGTTTGTCCATCTCGGCACATTCCATTACTTTCAATATTATTCTGTCTTGTGTTGAGATTTCTTCCGATTTCCAATTTTGTGCAAAGATGATTCTTGCTGCGGTCAAAATGTGTGTAATTAAATATACTGTTTCTTTTTTGTAATTATTTGTAAATATACCTAATAAATATGTTTCCGGTTTTAATGGTATTTTTTGTGCTATTATTTCTTCCAGTTGGATTTTGATTTTATTCCAAAATTGTTTTGCTTTCGGGCACAACCACCACATGTGGTAGTATGTCCCTTTTTGTATTTTGCATTTCCAAAAGAGAGGAGAAGTATTGGGAAACATTTTTGAGATCCGTGCTGGGGGTAGATGCCATCTGTAAAATATCTTGTAGGCATTTTCTTTATATGGTACTGATAACGTCAATTTACTGTTAATTTTCCATAATTTCTCCCATTTGCTTAGTTCAAAACTGTATCCGAAGTTTTTCACCCATGTGATCATATTTTCTTTTACTATTTCCTCTTCTAGCTTATATGTCAGTAGAAAGTTGTAAATTTTTGTTATTAGTTTCTCATTTGGGCCCAGTAGTATTCTATCCAGTCCATTTAATTCTTTTTGAATTCCATATTTTTCCATGTCTGTTTTGTATCTGGATTTTAATTGTAGGTAAGGCAACTACTCAATTTCCACACCTTGTATTTTTAGCTCCTCTCTCGTTTTTAATTTTCCTTCATTGTTTAAAAGATCCTGATATATTTTCATTTTGTTTATGTCCATTGTATTTGGATATATTTGTGCTTCCATTGTTGAAATCCACCATGGGATTCTATCATAATGGTTCTTCCTAATTTCAATCCAGATCTTTAACAAAGTGTCTCTCATGATATGTCTACGGAATTGTTCATGCTTTTTAGGTTTCTCTTCCCATAGGTATGCGTGCCATCCTTTCGTCAGATCAAAGCCTTCTAATGTTAGTGTGTGTCTATTTTTGAGTTCGATTCAGTCTTTAATCCGTGTTAGTGATGATGCTTTATGGTAAATCTGCCAGTCTGAAAGTCCCATTCCTCTTCGTTCTCGTTTGTCCTGTAAGTGCTTTAATTTAACTCTTGCCTTTTTCCCTTGCCAGTACTTATTTTGGGTGATACCAATAAATCCAGGCAAAACTTACTTTAAAGATTTGGACAAGACTATACCAACTCCTGTTATTCTATTACAGTGGTTATATTATGATATTTCAATGAAGGACTGGTCAAGATAGAACATTATAAAGACCAAAATGTATTCTTGCCCCATTCTTCATACATACAGTAGATAGATAGATAGATAGATAGATAGATAGATAGATAGATGACAGACAGACAGACAGACAGACAGACAGACAGACAGATCTATATCTATCTATCCATCCATTCATCTCTGACATCTTATCATATTAGTTTTTTTCCATGTCTGTCTGTCTGACTGACTGTCTGTTAGTTCCCACAAGTGAAGAGGTTTCTCTTCCTTTTTTTTTCTACCTGTACTTGCCATCGATTATGAGGAAGCCATTTAATCCAGATGCAACCTATTATTCATATACCATCTTCTGCTTTTTCAGTGACATTTGTTTTGTAAACTTTTGATACTGACAAGTCAATTGTTCAAAAGATGTTGGAAAATTTCACAACTGGCAAAACAAAGCCAAATATCTGCAAAGTGACATGCATTTTACAAACAATATTCTTCTCCATCACCACCTCCAATGAAGGCCTACTTAAAATAAAATGTCACTTGGGCTTTTTTTTTTTTGCTTGTTGCAATATCCAGTATATAGCACTACTTTGAATAATAAGGAGAAATTAGCAGTATCTTTTACACATTGTGTCTAGTATCCACAAGTGCAACCAAAGCTGGATTTTAGAAGTAGTCCTCAATTTACAACAGTTCATTTAGTGATGGTTCAAAGTTATATCAGCACTGAAAAAAGTGACTTATGACTGTTTTTCACACTTACTACCTTTGCAGCATCCTCGTGGTCATGTGATCAAAATTCAGATGCTTGGCAAGCGACTCATATTTATATGGTTGCAGTATCCTGGGGTCATGTAAATTCCTTTTGTGACCTTCTGGCAAACAAAGTCAACGGGGGGAAGCCAGATTCACTTAACAATTGTTTTACTAACTTAACAACTGTGGTGATTCACTTAACAATTATAGCAAGAAATATCATTAAATGGGGCAAAACTCACTTATCAAATGTCTCACTTAGAAAGTTTGGGCTCAAAGACTACTTATATTCCAAACATGTTTGTGCTATTTTACTAAAACCAGAATCTCTAAAAGATATCTTGCAAGACAACTTCAATAGTTGTATTGCCATCACACTAAGTTTAATGATGGTGATGGTGATGCAGGTAGTGGTGGTAATAGTGATGATAATGCAATTTCACTGTTAGGATGCAGTCACACAATTCACTCTCTCAAACAGACACTCCCCTTTCCCCTAAAACAAGCAGATTTACCCATGAAGAGAGCTGGAGCACCTTCCTCCCTGCAGTCACATGATTCACTCTCTCCTAAAATATTAGGATGCCTAAGATATTGAAGGTGGTCTTAGATGTTACAAGAGAATAAAATTCTTGAAGAAATGGAAAAAAAATAGTTCTAATATATAATAGGTATACCTTGAAACTATGATAGATTTATACACTGAGCAGTGTATAAATTAGTCAACATTGTAGCATATAAAATTAAATAAATAGCTAAATATACTGTGATATATTATCTCAAAAGAATACAATAATTACCAGTTGTAAGCATAAGCATAATAGGAACAGCGACACCAACTGAAAAAAAATACCTTTTTTTTAACATACCCGACAATATAGGAATACAGAAATATTTACCTAGTGCCCAGAGCTTGTTTAATAGAAATATTACATTCTCTGCATAAAATAAAACATTATATGCCCATTCAACATTGAAAGATAATTTCAAGATTCTTGTGAGAAAGACAAAATCTTTGATACTACAATGTCTATGGAGTTTCTCAGTCATGGTTGTTGCAAAGGTACTTTTTCAAAAGCAAGTAGTTTTTGTTTTTCCTTAAAGACATTTCGCTTCTTGGATGAGAAGTGAAAAGTCTTCAAGGAAAAACAAAGTCTAGTTGCCTCTTGAAAAAGCATCTTTGGGTCTTTAATAGCAGATTTTAAATTGCAACTTCATCCAAAAAGATTAGTATGATATCACTATTTGATTTAATTAAGTTTGCTCAAAATTTGATAATGCTGATAATAGTAACAATTTGGAATTTGGAAAGTGGCCCAGAAAATGGAATTGTGACCCGGATTCAAAGTTTCTTGTCTCCCCCATTAGTCACATAATTTCATTTTGGCATTTGGAAAGTGGCCAACAGTTACAGCTGTTTACAGCATTCTGTGATCATGTGACCCTGATTTACAATATTATTTCCCGGAAACTGGTGGCTCCTTGGTTTACGGAGGAGCTCCGGGAGATGAAACACCGGAGGAGAGGCCTAGAGAGTGGTTGGAGTCCAGCCGTTCCGAGTCTGACCGAGCCCAGTTAAGATCATTTTTATGGTTTTATCTGGTGGCGATGGAGGCAGTGAAGAGTTCCTACTTCGCTGCCCTCATCGCGTCCACAGAAAATCGCCTGGCTGCCCTGTTTAGGATCTCCTGCTCTCTTCTGAATCGGATGGAGGGGGAGGACCCTATGAAGAGACGGGCCAAGGAGTATAGTCAATTTCTGACGGACAAGATCGCTCAGATTCAGGATGGACTGGACTCCAACTATGTGGGGTCGGTCGATGGAGAGGTGGCGACGGGTCTGGTTGTTTGGGATGAGTTCAATCCTGTTACTCCTGAGGAAGTGGACAGGATCATGGGGAAGCTGAGTGCCACCACGTGTTTGTTGGACCCGTGTCCCTCCTGGCTGGTTTACTCGACCAGGGAGGTTACACATAGCTGGATCCAAGCAGTGGTCACTGCATCATTGGCTGAGGGGAGTTTCCCCGCTGCCTTGAAATAGGCGGTGGTGAGGCCCCTCCTCAAGAAGCCCATCTTGGATCCAGTTATTTTAAACAATTTTCATCCTGTCTCCAACCTTCACTTTATTGCAAAGGTTGTTGAGAGCGTGGTGGCACATCAGCTCCTGCTGGTCCTAGATGAAGCACACCAGTCGGGTTTCAGGCCCGGGTACAGTACAGAGATGGCATGCACTGGTGGATAACCTCTGGAGGGCTAGGGACAGAGGATATTCCTCTGCCCTGGTCCTGTTAGATCTCTCGGCGGCTTTTGATACCATCGACCATGGTATCTTGCTGCAGCACCTCGAGTGGTTGGTAGTGGGAGGCACTGTTTTACAGTGGTTCTTCTCCTACCTCTCAGGATGCTTGCAAGAGGTGTCGGCAGGGGGGCAGAGGTCGACACCGAGGCCCCTCACATGTGGGGTTCCTCAGGGGACGGTTCTCTCTCCCCTGCTGTTTAACATCTATATGAAGCCACTGGGGGAGATCATCCGTGGTTTTGGGGTGGGGTATCATCAATATGCTGATGATACCCAACTTTTTATATCCACCCTGAACCAGCCCAGTGATGCCCTCAACGTGATGTTCCGATGCCTGGAGGCGGTGTGGCTCTGGATGGGGAGGAACAGGCTCCGACTCAACCTTGCCAAGATGGAGTGGCTGTGGGTATTGGTGTCTTGGTTCCAAGGGACTATTCCATCTTTGGTCATAGGGGGAGAGGTGTTGCCCCCTGTGGATAGGGCGCACAACTTAGGCGTCCTCCTGGATGCACGGTTGACTTTAGAAGACCATGTCACGACCATGACCAGGGGGGCATTTGCCCAGATTTGTCTGGTGTGCCAGTTGCGCCCCTACCTGGACCGAGATGCCCTACGCACAGTCACCCATGCACTCGTCACCTTCTGGATCGACTATTGCAACACTCTCTACATGGGGCTGTCCTTGAAAACCACTCGGAGGCTTCAGCTGGTGCAAAATGCAGCTGCGCGGGTAGTGATGGGAGTGTCCCGATGCTCCCATGTCACACCCCTCCTGCGTGAGGTTCAAGGTGCTGGTGATTACCTATAAAGCCCTACATGGCTTAGGCCTGGGGTATTTGGCGAATCACCTGCGGCCAGCACCAGGTCCCCATCGCCCCGTGCGCTCACATAGAGAGGGCCTACTTGGGGTCCTGTCAGCCAAACAATATCGGCTGACGGCCCCTAGGGAGTGAGCCTTCTCTGTGGGCGCACCTACTCTCTGGAATCAGCTCCCCTTGGAGTTCCGGGTAGCCCCCAACCTTCGCTCCTTTCGCCGTGACCTTAAAACATGGCTGTTTTGCCAAGCTGGCCTGGACTGAATGGGGTTTTAATGGGAATTTTAGTTTTTATTGTTGAATTTTAATTGGACTTGTTGTTTATTGCTGTGAGCCACCCTGAATCCTTGTGGAGAAAGGGCAGCATATAAGTCTGATAATAAATAAATAAATAAATAAATAAAAATAAATAAATAAATAAATAAATAAATAAATAATTTCCCAGAAACTGGTGCTTACTTCCAGTTTTCAGCAAAAGGTTTCCACTGTGGCAATGGTTTCATTTAACAACTGTAGTGCGTACTTAAGAAATGTGGCATTCACTTGACAACTACATATTTACTTAATGACTCCTGTAAAAAAGGTTGTTGAATTGAGCATGGTTATGTGATCACACACTTAAAACTGGCATGATTTACAACTGTAATTCTAGTCTCAATTATGGTAATAAATGGAGAACTGCTTGTATTTATAAAATATTATTTGTCTTTAGAACTTGAAACTGTCTAAAAGTTGCAGGGATCAGGTAGAAAGCCCTTTTAGAGAATTTATGTATGCATGTGTTTATGCATGTATGTATGTATGTACATACGTACATAGGTATGTATGAAAAAATATATAAATGTCATTGTTGTGCCCAATTTTATTCTTCTGATCTGTTCTGATTAGAAAAAAATGGCGAGTTCTTTATTACTAGGCCTGACATTGGATCACTTTGTAAAGAATGCGGTGCTATCCTAACAAGAGTAACAGAGAACCAAAGTAATTTTACCATTAATTAAAGAAAAGGTTGTGTGGGAATACCTCTGGTCCCTCTTCAACCCAAACTGAAATTGTTCCTTCAGGATTCTAAAGTATTGTTGGAATACACTTGGGAAATTGTTCTCTCAGATGCTACCTATATACCATTCTACATATTAATCATGGTACTTCTCATCCATTATTTTTCACAGTATGAATAGTGAGCTCTATATTGTACAAAATTTTTATTTTTGATTCACTGTAAACTGCTAAAGGTGAGAGGGCTTTTCTCCATATGATTAGATTTCATTTTAATAGTATAAAAATGGATATTGTAATATACTATAATATCTATATTACATATTATAGTCTGCTATAACATAATAATACTAAGAAACTTCTCCTCTCAATTACTTAATACAGATCCCTTTCCTAAAGACTGCAAAAATGGAAAAGAGATATTTTGACTACCTGTAAGTATATTCCCTTTTAATCCATATAGAATGTTGCTGTTGTTTTAATGAGGCAAGATAGATTCATAGGGCATCGTTTTTATATATTGACAGACTGATAAAGATAGAATATGGGAAAAGATATCTAATGTAATGTTAATCAGCATTCACATGTTTGCTACTGTTTACATATTTATTTTTCAAAAATGGTTTTCTAAAATTCTTATTTTATTTGCCCAGTTTTGAAAGTACATCGTACTAAGCTCACTACCTAAACGTTTATTGCAGTTTTATTTTAAATAAGTTTAAAAATAAAATAGGGAAGGATGGAACAGTTACTTAATATATATGTATTGTTCTTACAGTTGTTTCACGTTGCACTTTGTCCCTTTTTTATAAACAATGGGATTTTTTTTAAACATGAAGCAATAACAAGAATATATTGTCATGTCTTTCATAGCCAGATAAACCTAAACCCAAGTTGTTTGGTCAATTCTTTCCTGAACAGCACAGAGAGCATAAAATTATAGCTTTTGAGAGAAACTATTATTTTAAAAAACTTGAAAGAACAGCTATTTGAGATTACTTAGATATATGAAAGTAACAGTTTTGATGATGAGCATGATGATAAATTTGCTGTAGTTATTAAATGTATTAGATTCTGAGTGAAGGGAATAGTGTTCTAAACCCAGCTGGGGCATCGCTTTTTCAGATAGAGAAGATACAGTAGATAGATAGATAGATAGATAGATAGATAGATAGATAGATGATAGATAGATAGATAGGATAGATAGATAGATAGATAGATAGATAGATAGATAGATAGATGCTCCACCCATCTCAATCCCATATTGGTCCAGTACATATTGAGGAAATATAGAGAGAAGTCAATAATTGGAAGCCAAACAAAACAGGAGAACTCTATGAATGTCATCTTTGTTGTGCAATTAGATTACTGCAATTAAAATAAAATAGTAATTAGAGTTTAATGAAAATTAACAGCTAAAGGTGTAGTTATGTGATGATGACAATTAACACTCTTTGCCTACAACCACTTAATTGCTTTGGACCATATGTCTCATAAGACTGTTGGCAGGCTCAATGAACAAAAGCTTTGGTTGCTTAAATCCAAAGCACCCAAAAGAAGAACATTTTATATATTTTCTCTAGATGTTAGATACAGGTTTAGTTTTATTTTAGGAAGTCCTAGTGAAATATATGAAATTAAATCTGTTGTAAATCTGCTATCACATTAACATTAATGAATGTGTTCTATGTATGAGTAAGAGTGTCCCCAACAGACTATATTTTCATATACTTTTTCTTAGCATTAGTACCTAAAGAATATGTAATAGATACTGTGTAAAAATATGGTAATCATTATACTTATCAATAGTTATTTCAATACTGTAACTGAAATCTGAAACATTTTCATGTAGTCTTCTTAGAATTAAATTTCCCTTTAAAGCAAGTAAAATAAAAATACATAAGAAGACATGATTATATGTGTTTTGTATTAAAACCTTAATTTATTTATACTGTGTTTCAAACATGAATGAATGAATTAATCAAATGAGATTGCTATTTTAAGAAAATTATTATGGACATTATTTTGGATCAACAGATCATGTGAGAAAATTGGAATGAGGAACAAAAGCTGTGTGACTACTTTCGTGATGATGGGTCTCTCTGAAAAACCTAAGCTGCAGTTAGTGCTCTTCATTCTATTCCTTGTTGTTTATATTGTTGCCCTAATTGGAAATCTTGCCATCATTGCTGCCATCATTTCCTATCCTAAACTTCACAGGCCAATGTATTTCTTCCTCTTCCACTTGGCTGTGGTAGACATAATCTGTACTTCTGCCATTATTCCCAAGATGCTAGGAAATTTAGCAACCTTCAGCAAAGTTATCTCCTACTCTGGCTGTATAGTTCAACTCTATTCCTTCACCTGGTGTTTGGGAGCTGAGATGGTCCTTTTCACCATCATGGCTTATGATCGCTATGTGGCCATATGTCATCCTCTGCATTATGCCATCATGATGAGCAAGAAAGTATGCATGGCACTATCTACAGTGGTGATTCTTATAGCTATTAGTAACTCATGGGTTCATACTGGTCTAATTATGAGGCTCACCTTCTGTGGTCCCAATGGTATCAACCACTTCTTCTGTGAGATTCCTCCACTTCTGGCTCTCTCTTGCAGTCCAGTAAGATTAAATGAAGTCTGGGTCTTCACAGCAGACATCTTCCTAGCTATGGGAAACTTCTTGCTAACATGCTTATCTTACTGCTTCATTGTTAGAACAATCCTTAAAATCAAGACATCTGAAGGAAAGAAAAAGGCCTTCTCCACGTGTTCGTCTCACCTTATTGTTGTGACCTTGTATTACTCTACAGTCATTTATACTTATATACGTCCAGCTTCCAGCTATAACTTTCAAAGAGATAAAGCAGTTGCTGCCCTATATACATTGGTTACACCAGTTTTAAATCCCATCGTTTATTCTCTGCGAAATAATGATGTCAAGGCAGCTCTTAAAAAAGTTTTTTTTATAACATGAATTAGATAAGCAAGTCTCTCCATGTTCTTTCAGCAGAAATTCAGTGTTATATTTCAGTTTTCATTCTTTGTTTTGATTTTTTTAAGGATCATACTAATTGTAAATGTGAATATACAATATATATTACTTGTTTATCCAACACTTTATGATTTGTAGCTCAATGAATGAACTAACCCTGTTTCAAAGTATGTTTGCAGGTGAGATGAAATAGGAATGTTTTCTCTACAGTATTTGATATTGGTCCACATATATTAGCATTAAGAGTTGAACACATTTGTGTAAATCAATCTTATGTAATTTAGAAAGGCCAATTCTAGAGTTCTTGTTTCCAGTGAAGAATTTTGGTTGACATGACTGCATTATTTTCTTGGAATTATTATGGTCCTAAACCAAATAAACTGATAAAAAAAATAATATGGGGCAAGGTTAGTAGAGTAAATATAACTGTTGTCCTTCTAGCTCCACTTATACTTTCTAAATAACTATGTTGGGTGCCAAGACTCTGGACAAATTGAAAGAAACCCAAATTAGACAATCTTCTAAAATAGGACAATGTTCCAACAGAAAACTGAAACTCAAATACTATTGATTGGTCAATGATCAGAAAGATTTGAAAAAAATACAATATAAAAGTAAAATAAAAAAGATGAGATTTTTTTATTTTTTTATTTATTATTGCGATTTATATGCCGGCTTTCTCCCTGGGGACTCAAGGCAGCTTACAAAATGACAAATTCCAATACAAATCGCAATGAAATAAAATTAAAATCAGCAACCCTATTAAAAACAGTTTAAAATTATGACAGTGTACCCCCAAACGGATCAGTTGAGTTGACGAAAGAACCATGTCTTCAGCTCGCGATGGAAGGAAAGAAGTTCGGGGGCTGTCCTGAGCTCAGTGGGCAATCCATTCCAGAGGGTCGGGGCTCCCACAGAGAATGCTCTCCTCCTGGGGGCCATCAGCCAACATTGTTTGGCTGACATCACCCTGAGGAGGCCGACTCTGTGAGAGCACACAGGACGGTGGGAGAGCGGCTGGAGATGGTCCTGCAAGTACCCCGGGACTAAGCCATGAAGGGCTTTATAGGTGAGCACCAGCACCTTGAAATGTATCCGGAGCACCACTGGCAGCCAGTGCAGGTCATGCAGAAGAGGTGTTACATGGGAGTATCTAGACTCCCCCGTAACTACCCGCGCGGCTGCGTTCTGGACTAGCTGGAGCCTCCGGACGCATCCCAAGGGCAGCCTCATGTAGAGGATGTTACAGTAGTCCAACCTAGAGGTAACGAGGGCATGAGTGACTGTGGTGAGGGCATCTCAGTCTAGAAAAGGGCACAACTGGCGCACAAGATACACCTGTGCGAAGGCCCCCCTGGTTACGGCCGTCAGATGGTCCTCTAAGGACAGCCGAGAATCCAGGAGGACACCCAAGTTGCGGACCCTATCAGAGGGAGCAAGAGTTTCTCCCCCGATCATTAAAGATGGTACCTCCAGATCCCGGGATGCCGGCATCCACAGCCACTCAGTCTTGGAAGGGTTGAGTCTAAGTCTGTTCCTCCCCATCCAAACCCGCACCGCTTCCAGTAAGTGGGACATCACAGAAAGGGCATATAATACTATCATATCAGATATAATACTATCATAATAAGCAAAAGAGATAGCATACAAATTAAGACTCCTTATGTTGGAGATACTGTATATTGTTACATTTTTCTGGTTTTCTCGAGTAATATTAAAATTCTTTTATTAACTTTTCTTTGTATATCAGTTTCAAAGAACCTGAATTGTAAAGATATATTCAGTTCATTTAATTTTTATATTTGTAAATCTCCTAAATAAATAAAATATAAAATAAATAATAAAATAAAATAAAATAAAATAAAATCCTACATTAAACATCCTAATAATACTATTTACCCAGACTTTAAAAGTGTCTCTCTAAATGGATTACTGTGCAGAGATCATGTAATGAGAAATTGTGTTGTCATCCATTGTTTTTACTAATTCTCCTAACTTTCCTAATTTCTCCTGTATTTTTTTTAACCTAAAATTTTCACAATCATTGGGATTTTAATTCCCATATTTTTCAGCCAGTATGGAAATGTCTGATTGGAAATGTGGGTGATTGTTGTTCCAATAGCCTCTAATAATAATTGTAATTATATTTGTAATAGAAGCAATACCAATAGCAATAGAAATATTTGCAATAGAAATATTATAGTTATGTTAATTTTAAAAAATGCAATGTGGTAGCATCCAAAATGTATACAGAATAACAAAATAATAGAGTTGGAAAAGACCTTAGGCAGGAAACCCTGTATCATTTCAGACAAATGGTTGTCCAATCTTTTCCAAAACCTCCAGGGTTGCACAAATAAAGTTCAGAACTAATAGGAATAACTTGTTACAAATATGAATACTTAAAAATATGCAAAAACAGAAAAAGGGCCAGGTGGAGATTAAAAAAAAGGATAAATGCTGAGAGTAATGGACAATAGCCAACAATGGTATATGGGATTCTCATTATTATATTTAACTGCAATAAAGAAAAAAGAGTCTGCCTTTCTGAACTATCCTAGTAATTGAACTTGAATTTGATTCAAATTGAATTTGATGCAATAATACTACGCATATTTAAACTTAGATCTCCTTCTTTACATTCAATAGCAGAAGATAATTTGTCTGAAGCTAAGGAAATATATTCTTGATGACTACTGCCACTTATGTTTCTATAATTAGCAATATATCTAGAAGGCTACCTGTCACCAGTATAGATATGATACTTCAAAGGAATAACAAACCCATCCAATATCAGATGAATCCCTCACTCCAGTTCAGTGAGTTTCATTCATAGTCTGTTGAGTTTGAGCTGATTAAGTTTCAGCAACTTTACCGAAGCATATTCACGAGTTCCAATGATTTCATGGCATTAAATTATGGAAATGAAATAAAAGTTGATGCAAAACAAAACAAAAACAATACTATAGTCTTGTGTTATCTGAATAAAGGTGAAATGTACCCAAATCTCAAGTGATCTATCTATTGTGTACCCTCTCTCTCCACATCTCATCAGCGGTGGGATTCAAGTAATTTAACAATCGGTTCTCTGCCCTAATGGTTTCTTCCAACAACCAGCTTGCGAAACTGCTCAGAAAGTTAACAACCGGTTCTCCCAAAGTGGTGCGAACTGGCTGAATCCCACCACTGCATCTCATATATATTAAATAATATAGAGGATAAGATAGAATTTTGGGGTATTCACAATGCAAAAACAATAAATACAGCAGTGCAGGAGATTCATAAGGTAACCTTCTGATGCGGACATCCTCTGCAATAGTTAGTCAGTTAAAGACAAATTATCTGAAGAGATGTTGTTTAAAAATAGTCATTGTGGTTATTAGGTAGGTCCATAGCTGGCTTGAAAACCCACATATGAATGTTGCTATGCTGTTTTCTATATAAGGGCTGTAGGCATATTTGATTTATCTGATCTTGAGCACATTTCCATGCAAAAAGCACGATTTCTACTTACAGGGACTCCTTGCTTAAAGTCATTCATTCAGTGACCATTTGAAGTTATGACAACTCTGAAAAAACAGATTTGCAACTGTATCCTATAACTATGACAATGCCTCCCCTGCAGCACACATGATAAAAATTTGAACCAGACCATATCTTTGATTGTACCTTACTTCCTAACTGGTTTCATTTTCTTTGCCTCCATTGGGGTCACCATCCTGGCCACTGTGGCTTTGGGGCTTTTTACCTGGCTGGGACTCTAGAACTGCTTGCATCCTTAGGCATTTTCTCTAGCAGCAGCAGCCATTCCCCAGCTCTGTGAGCCCGCACCCTTGCATATTGTTCCCCAGCCAATATATGTACTGTACCCACATATATGCATTTTCAAATATCGTCCAAGGGTGAAAAAAAGTAACTAAGATTTAAAAAGAGAGAAAAAATGCAAAGTGATGTTGATGAAAAAATATTGATTTTGGAAGTTGGTGAAAGAGGTCCACCAGGGAAATGAATTGAATTAAAATATAGAGTGGTGTCATGGAATGGAATGTTGGAGTGAAATTTTAGAAATATTTATTGGAATAATATCAATAGAGGAAAAGTTCAGGGTTGAACTTCTCTGAGCTTGGTTATTTTCTTGCAGACATTTCATTATCCAACTAGGTAATATTATTAGTGCTAGAAGGAAGTGAGCTTTACAGCCAAGATTATTATTATTATTATTATTATTATTATTATTATTATTATTATTATTATTATTATTTATTGAATTTCTATACCGCCCTACTCCCGAAGGACTCAGGGCGGTGTACAGCCAAGATCACACCGCACAAAGATCCCACATTGGAATATTAGTGATTTGTGGAAGAGTGATATCAATAATGCTATACAAGTTAGTGTCAATTAAAATAAAAATAGAAAGAAATTCACAGAGAGAATTTTCAAAAATAATCCAGTCATGGATGTAAATGATATAACTGAAGAAATGTTTAAAATGTGTAGTGCAATAGCTATGGGATTTAACATATGTTATTGCACCTGTATCACAAAAATTCAGCCCCAAGAAATATGAATAATGGATGATGCAGTTTCCTGTCATTGTGTGATGGGAAAAACTGGAGGGGAGGGGTAAGATTGGGACATTTAAACAATTTTAGACGGCAGATATTCCAGAGACAAAGCTTTAGAAATAGAAAACTAGCAATAAAACTTGTATTTGTTGTAATTTGTGCACATTTATACATATCCTAGAAATTCCTTCTCTTTAATGTAAATGGAAAATTAATATTTTCAATCTATAAATATTAAAACTTTAATTTCACAATGATTATATTTGGAAGATTAATGTTTTAATGAAACAAATCAACAGCAAGGATGTGATTGCTTTTCCTTAGCAGAATTGCTATGGACATCCTTAGTTGTATTTGAGTGAAGTTGTTTTCCTCTTTAGTGCTAATTAATCACCACCAAGTTCTTATACAATC